CCGACGTTACATCACCCTACCACAAGGTGATCGATCCTCTGGACATCATGTACTCGAGAATGAAGAGCAAGTGGGAGAAGTCTATTCTGTTGATCATTGATCAACATGAGATCAGGTTGCCCCCACAAGCTCAGGAAGTCATAGAGTCAATGGCCAGAAACCCCAACGTTGGACATACAGAGAGATGGATGAGCGTGGTAGAACATAAGCATGTTCAAGCTCTTACCAATCGTCTAGGCTTTGGAGATAGGGCCAAGGAGATTCAGGGCAAGAAGAAGCAGGCAGCCAAGGCAACAGCTAAGTCAACATCAACGACTAAGTCTGAAGCGAAAGCAGCATCTTCGTCAAGAGCTGAGGCAAAGCCAGCATCTACACCCAGAACCGAGGCCAAGCCGTCGTCAGCACCAAGTGAGGAGCCAAAACCTTCAACAGCACCTAAGAGTTTCGGGCCCTCATCAGCAGAGGAGAACAAGGCGAAGGCTGCTCCAAAAGCCAGACCACATGATAAATCACCATCCAGTGCTACCGATGTGTTTGAGCAAGCTTTGCAGGAAGATCTTGCCGCCAACGCACATGCAGCAGAAGGTACAACTTCTTCATCATCCCGAGGACATTCCAAAGGAGGAGGCCAATCTGGAACATCTTGGAGGCCGGCGCTAACGCAAGAACGTCGCGAAGTACCTCAACCTTCTGAAAAGGGGAAGGGAAAGAGCAAGTCCAAGGGAAAGTCCAAGAAGGGAGAAGATGATCGGTGGGATGCTCAGGGCAGCTGGGATCATCGTGGATGGAGAGGTTATCGCCAGTGGTGATTTCTTTGAACGACTATGAGGATACCATGCAAACCAGGGAGGAAGTCATTCACCGGATGTCTATCTGACCTGAAACGCTGTAAGTGTATCATTGCAAATCATCGGATTGACGATTTGATACCATGAGCATAATGGAAGGCAGACAGTCACCGACTGTCTCTCCGACTTGCCGTTCTGTAAGTGTATCCAAATCAAAACCTACATCTTTTGAGAAGTGTGAAGTCAGTTGCCGATGTGACATCTACGTGGAAGTCACCAGTTCGGATCTACATCAAAGCGATGCTCTTTTGAGTGGATACTGAGCGAGGCCTCGTGACTGTCTCACTTGTTCAATTCGATTTTCATAGGTTCTGAGCCATAGTTGCACACTTTATATGTAAAAGTCCGCTTTAGTCCAGCATGTTTCGTAGTATGAGCCTCATATGAGTCTCGCGGCAAATCATACAATTTCTTTTGTAGCACTTACATCCCTAAATTTTCGTGTGTGATCGGAACATATTGTTGCCGTTCACATGGGGGGTGCTAATGGAAGTGCAGCGACACGTACAGTGCAACTTGTACATATATATGTACCATATGTACTTTGGCTCAAGGATCAAGCGACTAGAAAAGGTGCGGTTTCCGTTCCGACGCTACGCCGCTTATGGACCGTCAGTGATAGCTTCAAACTTCGCTGATTAAGATCCACTCGCATATATATATATATATATCACGAAGGCCAGCCGGTCGGCTGGGCTTGAGGTTGTTGGAGCGAACGAAGTGAGTAAAGGGTGTGTGTGTGGGGGGGGTGGTTGAAAAGAGGCGGGCCACTTGGTAGTGAAAAATGAATAGTTTGAGGGGTGTTAGGGGTGTTGTGATGCCGGTGATGTAAGTGACGGTGAAGAGTACATCATCAGCATCACAAGGGGCTCAGGAGGCCATGGAAAGAGAACAGATTGTAGTTGCGGCTTAGCTTAGCGTTGCTGTCGGACTGAAGAGGGCACTCCCTATGCGGTGGGGGTTCACGTGAATTGGGGTTCCGCCTCCAACGCTTGCCCACTGCCATCTCTTCTCTCTCTCTCTTGCCTTCAACAACCTTGCTGGAAACCATAGCACTTACTCCGAACTACATTCCAAGCTAAAATGAACACAAGGGGATATCTAATCACGAAAGCCAGCCGTCAACTCACTTGAAACATAGACCAACACACCATACCCAACCTTCGCCAGACTACAAGGGCGCCCTCTTTCCCCTCCACAACGCCCTGACATCGAGACGCTAAGGGGCACCCATCCGAAACTTCTGTATTCTACTCTCTCTTTCCATTCTTTTTCGACTGACGGCCATATCCACTTCACCACTTCCAGCTCCTCCTTGTCCACTCTACCTATACAAATATATATATATATGTCCTCACGAAAGCCTACCGATAGCCTCGCCCACGACGTCTCTGGTCACTCATTGTACCAACACGCAGCTGACGCACTCACATAAAATCTTTGAGGGTGCCCTTTTTCACCTCCAAAACATTCCTGATTTTACTTCTACCGTCTGTTCCTACCTCCTCTCGCGTACCTGCGATGCCAACTTCACCCCATAAACGTACTCTTTACATAATGTTAGCCTGTCACTTCATCTTGCACACTCAAGTCGCTCCAATATCAACTTTACCTATACACACTTCGACAATTGTATTCAGTTAACTCAGTTCCCACGCTGGGAAGGATGGCGGTGGAACAGCATGGTGAAAGGTCCAAAGACTTGAAGGTGTTTTAACATTGAGGTTTCTCATCTGC